TTTTTTTCCCTTGATTTTGATAAAACCCTTGAATTTCACATTTCTTTGGGTGATATTAATGATGCTGATAAACAGATTGAAAAGTAAAGAGGAAAATCTTATTTTCTTGGCTTCATCTTTTATACTTATTTAGTACTTTATAAAGAAGATTAAGATCTCATCATCAAATATGTGACTATTCCTACACCTAATTTCCCATTTTCTCTCTAGTCTCAGAATCAGGGTATGTCGCTTTTTAAAAAGTAACCACTGCAGTTTTCTGCCATCCATTCCTCTTCTTTGCTCCCAGATAGAAGGGTAGAGAGGATAAAGAGAGATTTGGAGGGTAAATGGAAGAAATCCAGTGCACTGGTATGATATTCCATCATATGAAAAACCAACTTATTTATTCATTCTGCTCTTGATGAATATATGGATCATTTCCAGTTTTCAGCTGTCATAAACAATGCTATGTGAATGTTCTTTTCTGTGTCTCTTGATGCATTTCTATACACGTTTCTATTGAGTCTAGGACTGGAATTACTGGTATGGGATATGCATAAGTAGGTGATGCTGAACCTTCCTAAAGTGGTTACACCAATTTACGATCCCATCAGCAGTATATGACATTTCTCATTTTCCACGTGATTGGTAATGTTAGTATTTTTAATGTTTGACCAGCTGATAGATAGGAGCACTAGGAAACTAAGACAGTGTTCTTTAGGCAAAACAAAAATCGTCACAAATATAAGATCAAAGATATAGGAAGAAATGAAGAACGTAGTAGATTCTTGCTATTCATAGTAGTTAGGTTTTATGAAGTTGTCACAAACACTGAGTTAGTGAATACTGAAGACCTATAACAGAAATACCAGCAGTGGTTGGTATTTAACAAACGAAAATTTGTTTTCACACAGTTCAGGATGCTGGAAGTCTGAATTCAGAGTACTAACTCTAGGGAAGGCCCTTTCTATCAGCTCTTGGGAAAGATCTTTGTCTCTTTCACCTTCTGTTCCTTAGTTCCTTGGCGATCTTCCATATGACACCTGTCTTCCCTGTTTGTACCTACTTCTCTGTGATCTTTTTATATCTCAAAAGTGATTAGGTTTAAGACACACTCCACACTGATATGTCCTCATTAACATGACAAAGAAAACACTATTCGCAAATGGGATCACATCCACAAGTGTAGGAGTCAAGACTCCAACACATAGTTTTTTAGGAGATGGGAATGGGAGGCATAGTTCAGCCCATAGCACCAAAAAAACAAACTAAACTCACTGCCATTGAATTGATTCCAACTCATGGCGACCCATCCTTGGGTTTCTGAGACAGTACCTCTATGGAGGTAGATTGCACAGTCCTCCTTTGAAGGAGTGGCTGGTAGTTTGGAACCACCAGCCTTTTGGCTAGCAGTCAAATGCCTTAGGCACTAGGCCACCAGAGCTCCTATTGTTGTTATTGTTGTTAAGTGCCGTCGAGTTGTTTCCGACTCAT